TTTTATTCTAGGAGTTTTACAGTTTTACATCTTTTTTTTTTTTTTTTTGAGACGGAGTCTCGCTCTGTCACCCAGGCTGGAGTGCAGTGGCCAGATCTCAGTTCACTGCAAGCTCCGCCTCCTGGGTTTACGCCATTCTCCTGCCTCAGCCTCCTGAGTAGCTGGGACTACAGGCGCCCGCCACCTCGCCCGGCTAGTTTTTGTATTTTTTAGTAGAGACGGGGTTTCACCGTGTTAGCAAGGATGGTCTCGATCTCCTGACCTCGTGATCCGCCCGTCTCGGCCTCCCAAAGTGCTAGGATTACAGGCTTGAGCCACCGCGCCTGGCACAGTTTTACATCTTACATTTAGGTCTTCGATCCATTTTGAGTTAATTTTTGTATATGGCATAAGTAAGGGTCCAACTTCATTGTTCTGCATGTGGGTGTCCAGTTTTCCTAACACCATCTGTTAAAGAGACTGTCCTTTACCCAGGAAGTCTTGGCACTCTTGTCGAAAATCATTTGGCCATAATTGCAAGGGTTTATTTTTGGGTTCTCCATTCTTTTAATGATTTTTAAAGGGTTATAATTCAGCATGTAGTCATGTACTTTAGCAACTCATTAGATATTATAGTTAGTTATTTTTTGTTGGGATATATATCTAAGTATAAATAAGCCCCTTAGCTAACTTGAAGTAGCAGAATGCATAGTTTTTCTCAAGTGGAAATGTCTTCAAACTCATCTTTTCGGGATCCTTTTTTGGCCTGTATTTCCCCTGTATGTTGCCACAAGTTCCTGGATTTTCCTTTTTTTTTGAGACAGAGTCTCGCTCTGTCGCCCAGGCTGGAGTGCAGTGATGTGATCTCAGCTTACTGCAACCTCTGCCTCCCAAGTTCAAGGGATTCTCCTGCCTCAGCCTCCCAAGCAGCCGGGATTACAGGCGTGTGCCACCACACCTGGCTAATTTTTTTTATTTTTAGTAGAGACAGGGTTTCACTATGTTGGCCAGGCTGGTCTCAAACTCCTGACCTCAAGTGATCCACCTGCCTCAACCTCCCAGAGTGCCAGGATTACAGGCGTGAGCCACTGTGCCTGGCTGGAATTTCTTCTTTTTGTGTGTTTGTTTCTCTCACCCTGTCTTACAGTGCTGAGGAACTTCATTTTGACCTAGACATTAATTACTTTGTTTTGCAACCATAATGTCAATGTATACATTAATTCATTTTTGTGTAGTTTTTCTAAAAATGTAAATATGATCTGCTTTTACTTAGTTAAGAAAAAAGAGTGGCCAGGCATGGCGCATCATGCCTGTAATCCCAGCACTTTGGGAGGCCAAGGTGGGCAAATCACTTGAGCTCAGGAGTTCAAGACCAGCCGGGGCAACATGGTGAAACCCCATCTCTACTGAAAATACAAAAATTAGCCAGATGTGGTAGAGCACGCCTGTGGTCCCAGCTACTCAGGAGGCTGAGGCAGGAGGATTGCTTTAGCCCAGGAGGTCAAGGCTGTAGTCACCTGTGATTGCACCACTGCACTCCAGCCTGTACAAGTGAGTAAGACCCTGTCTCAAAAAACAAAAAACAAAACCAAAAAGAAAAGGAAGCAGCAAGTTGACTGCTAACCATGTTACAGGCACTGTCCTAGGTATTAGAGATACAAACAGGAAGATGCTGTATTACTATATTATTTACTCTACCACTTTCTTCTGGCCAAGAACTCCTAGAGAACTGAACCAAATACCTAGTTTCGTGCATTTGAGGTCTGAAAGAAAGCCAGTGTTGGAAGGATTAATGAATGAGAGAGAGAGACTGATAGATGTCTTAGAGAAGTAGGCAGGGGCCAGCTGATGATACGATTTTAGATTTTTATCTTAAATTCAGTGGAAAGCTACTGAAAGTTTTTAAGTGGGAGACAGAAAGGATCAACCCTGAATTAAAAAAAAAATCTGATTTAATGTGGAGAATATGCTGGAGAGGGCAAGAATGGATATAATCTGAAATGTTATTTTTATAGAAAGTCTTAGCAGTTGATAAACCTTATATTTTATGATAACCTGATTTGTTAAACTGAAAAATCAAAATGAATTAATGACACATTTTCTTCATACCTCTCACAGCAAAAAGTGGCAAAATAGCCTGGCCACTCAGAAGGCTGAGGTGGGAGGACTGCTTGAGGCCAGGAGCTCAAGGCTGCTGTGAGCTATGATTGTGCCACTGCACTCCAGCCTGGGTGACAGAGCAAGACCCTATCTCTTGAAAAATAAATAAATAAATAAAATAAAGTGGCAAAATAGCAGTAGCACAACTTACATACCCTCACCACCCAACTTGGTTCTTTAATACAACTGTATTAGCCTCTCAAAGGAGTAAGTCTCCTTAAAGTTCAGCTGATTCTAGATGTTAAAGGAAGAAAAACTTAAGGATGGGCCTGGCACATCCTACTGTACCAGAAAGCAAAGATATAGTCAAAACAAAACCAAAAGTACTAGCTTTAAGTGGCTAACTTGTAACAATTACAGCATCAATACTAATTATTGCTAAGTAAATATATAAATATTTTGAAATGCTATGAGTTCATAATGGTACTCAAGAATAAAAATATAAAGTATGAACAAAGTAGCTGTTACATGAAAGAAGTAAATATCATGGATTTTGTTTAATTTTTTATGGCTTCCAATAAGTAGTGGTGTGCTAATATACCTGGATAATTTGTTTCTTCTAAGTATATGTCTGTGTGTAAAGTGTAAATAGGTATTTGTTTTACTTGTGTAAGTAAAGAAAAGTATTGAGAACTGTAAGTCAAATATCCCAGCAAAAAGGAGAACCAAAAATAGGAAGACTAATCAACACTGGTGGTAGCAAGTAAAAAGGAAAGGGTATTAGCAATATGTCGCAGAATGGTGATATAGTCAGATGTCCTAAAAAGGATGACTAACTGCTCAGACTTGATTTCTTATTTCCTTGAAGATTAAATTTCTAAATGAACTTACCATTGATAGTTATAAAATAAGGCACATATAAAGTTTACATTAACAGATCAGGTTGATATATTCTAATAACAGAATATGAGTTATATAATTTTGATCAGAGAGAATGAAAGAATACATCATTTCTGTGGGTGACATTAGGCTGTAAAATTTTTTATATTATATTAAAGGAGTAAACTTATCGATATAATGCATGAGATTTAATTTAAAAAGAATGCCTAATGACCAGCAGCTTGAGTTTAGATCACTTTAGGAACAGCAAACAAATATCATTATCTGACCAAAAATCAGTTGATAACCCAGATCCCATAACCCTAACAGTAATGTTTTACTTTATGGTCTGGTGAGATTACCACAGACTCAAGGAGGCTCCAAAAGTAAGTATTACTACAACTATTGGAAGGTATCGAATAAGTAAAACTGCAGCCATGGGAAAAAGTATACGAATAATTTTTTAAATGAATTAAAACTATGATATTATATTTTACAGTAGATTTAAGTATAGGTATAGGTTTCAAAGTAATCCTATTTAGGTTTATTTTGCTACTATTTAAAAAGTCTGAGGTGTTCAAAAGATCTTGCCATTAAAAAATTACTTTGGGCTGGGCATGGTGGCTCACACCTATAATCCCAGCACTTTGGAACGCTGAGGCAGGCAGATCACCTGAGGTCAGGAGTTCAAGACCAGCCTGGCCAACATGGTGAAACCCCATCTCTACCAACAATACAAAAATTAGCCGGGCATGGTGGTGGGCGCCTGTAATCCCAGCTACTTGGGAGGCTGAGGCAGGAGAATTGCTCGAACCTGGGAGGCGGAGGTTGCAGTGAGCTGAGATTGTGCCATTGCACACTGCACTCCAGCCTCAGTGACAGAGCAAGATTCCATCTCAAAAAAAAAAAAAAAAAAAAAAAAGGCTGGGTGTGGTGGCTCATGTCTGTAATCCCAGCACTTTGGGGAGGCCGAGGCGGGTGGATCACGAGGTCAGGAGTTCGAGACCAGCCTGGCCAGTATGGTGAAACCCCGGGCATTGTGGTGCGCACCTGCAGTCCCAGCTACTCGAGAGGCTGAGACAGAAGAAATGCTTGAACCTGGGAGGTAGAGGTTGCAGTGAGCCAAGACTGTTCCAGCCTGGGTGACAGAGGGAGATTCCATCTCAAAAAAAAAAATAAAGTACTTTGAAGTTTAATTTCTTTAAAGATATTAAATTGTAATTAATATTACATGTTATTAAAAAATCAGTTTCAACATTTTTTCAAAAAAGTTTTAAAAGTCTTTTTCTTAGACTTCAACATTTTTAAAAAACCATTCTATTTACACATTTATGTCAAGAAGGAAGTGTCCATATTTATAGATGTATGTAAATATATATAGATATAGAGACCTGAATAACAAGAATATCCTTAAGCACTATTATATGGTTTGAATATTTGTCCCCTCCAAAATTCATGTTGAAATTTAGTCCCTAATTTGGCAGTGTTGAGAGGTGGAGCCTTTAAGGGTAATTGGATCTCGGGGGTTCTGTCCTCGTGAATGGTTTAATCCATGTATGGATTATTGGATTATCGTGGAAGGGGAACTGGTAGCTTTATTAAAAAAAAAAGAGAAACCCGAGTTGGCATATTAGCATGAACAGCCCCCTTGCCATGTGAGTCCCTGCACTGCCTTGGGACCCTGCAGAGAGTCCCACCAGCAAGAAGGTCCTCCCAGATCCTGCCCCTTGACCTTGGACTTCTCAGCCTCCAGAACTGTAAGAAATAACTTCCTTTTCCTTATAAATTGCCCAGTTTCAGGTATTCTGTTATAAGCAACAGAAAACAGATTAATACACTCCAAGAAAGGTATAACTTTTTGAACAAAATTACATAATAAAATTTTAATATACACAAAGACTACGGACCATCTTACAGAATTTGCTATGCTTTACTAAATACCAGTAAGTAGGAAGAAGTATTTTAATCCCTTAATACAACTGGTAGGATATAATACTTGCATATTAGGGCACATTGAAATACTTACATAATGGAATACTCACATAGTAGAATCTCTTTCTTGAGACAAGGTTGTTTCATATGAAGCAGAAACAGCAGAAGGGGATCTAGGATACAATCTATAACCTTCACTTGGAGTGATTATCTGCCTACCTAGAATCCTTCAAAATGAAGAAACACACACACAATTAAGCACTTTCACTGGCATACATACAAAATCTAGATATAATTTGAACATATTTGATGGCTCTACATAAAAAGTCCAGTATACAGTCTGATACTGATTAAGAATGAGAAAATGTAAATCCAGAGCCTTACTACAGGTATATCTCTTCCATAGAATGGAGATGGAAAAGATAAACCTATAGCCTGGTGTTAAAAAAAAAAAAAAAATCCAAGAAATCTAAGCAAACATCTGTAATCTGCCCTTCATGCTTCATAATAGTCCTCATTAAATCAGCCAAAATGGGATGAAGGCCCAGTCAAATTAGTGAAAACTATGAATTACATTCTTAAGAACATGAAGCTTTATAAATTTTGAGTATGTGCAATAAGTGGTACTATTGCAGTTTCTGAAGGAAGCTCTTGAACAGCCTCTGTCTAGTTTCAAGTATATGTAAGAATTTAATTGTATACAACAGTTACATTTTCTGACCATCCTGTTCAAAAGAAGGGCTTTTTGGTACCCAGATACTAGACCTCAGCTGCTGTTGTAGAAATAGTTTTACTTCATTAGGATCACATATTGTTAGTTATGGAAACTCTAAGAAACTTCTACCAACTTAAGTTTTCTCTTAGCTGAGGCTTTATACCACATGGCCTTATTTATATTCATTAAAGTCATGCTCAGAAAGATTTTAGAATACAAGCTTTTTAAAAAAAAAATCTACTTTTAATATTTTAGTATTATCCATGAATACAAGTCCACTGGAGGGCTTCAGTACCTGAGGTGAGGAAAGCTGGCTGTCCACTGTTGGCACTCTTCTTGTAGACTCTTGGTATGCACACTCAACTTCTGCTCATACAAGAGTTCATCAATGGCTGTGAACATTGCCTGGACTTTTTCAGTGGCATTTTGATCAAGTTCCTAAAAGAAAATATTCCCCCCAAATATTTAGGTGAGCTTCACTCTCTGTTAAAAATTGTAAAGATTGAAAGCAGTAAGACTTGTTTTGTTTAAATGTTTAGTCTACTTGAAATACTGCTGTGTTTCCATGAAAGAAAAATTAAATTAGTGAGTTTTCAGATCTTGGAATTTTCAGATATCTTCTCCATTCATATTTAAAGAAAATTTAGATAAATGTCTGTTTTTTAGGCTGGTCCAAGTACAGTGGTGTTTACAGCTAATTGATCACAACCACTTACGGATTTCTTTGTTTCCTCTCCACTCCTATTGCTTCACTTGACTAGCCTTAAAAAAAAAAAAAAAAAAAAAAAGACCAGGCATGGTAGCTCAGGCCTGTAATCCCAGCACTCTGGGAGACTGAGATGGGTGGATTACTTGAGGCCAGGAGTTCAAGACCAGCCTGGCCAACATAGTGAAACCCCGTCTCTACTAAAAACACAAAAATTAGCCGGGCGTGGTGGTACACACCGGTAATCCCAGCTACTTGGGAGGCTAAGGCACAAGAATCACTTGACTTGGGAGGTACAGGCTGTAGCAAGCCAAGATTGTGCCACTGCACTCTAGCCTGGGTGACAGATGAGACTGTGTCTCAAAAAAAAAAAAAGTCTCTATATATTTTCATTTATTTATTTATTTTTGAGATGGAATCTTGCTCTGTCGCTCAGGCTGGAGTGCAGTGGAGCGATCTCTGCTCACTGCAAGCTCCGCCTCCCAGGTTCACGCCATTCTCCTGCCTCAGCCTCCTAAGTACCCACCACCATACCCGGGTAATTTTTTTTTTTTTTTTTTCATTTTTAGTAGAGATACGATTTCACCATGTTAGCCAGATGGTCTCGATTTCCTGACCTCATGATCCACCCGCCTTGGCCTCCTAAAGTGCTGGGATTATAGGCATGAGCCACCACACTTGGCCTGGTTCTACCATTTTTAAGAAAAGGTAGACAGAAAATCCTGTGTATATTACTTTGTATACTGCATCTTTCACTTGGCAATTGACAACTTATGTTATGTCCTTGCCCTCTGTAGTCCACCCTTTAAGAATAGTCAGGCCCTGGATTAAGAAAATGTGGCACATATACACCATGGAATACTATGCAGTCATAAAAAAGGATGAGTTCGTGTCCTTTGTAGGGACATGGATGCAGCTGGAAACCATCATTCTCAGCAAACTATTGCAAGAACAGAAAACCAAATACCGCATGTTCTCACTCATAGGTGGGAATTGAACAATGAGATCACTTGGACACAGGAAGGGGAACATCACACACCAGTTCCTGTTTTGGGTGGGGGGAAGGGATAGCATTAGGAGATATACCTAATGTAAATGACGAGTTAATGGGTGCAGCACACCAACATGGCACATGTATACATATGTAACAAACCTGCACGTTGTGCATATGTACCCTAGAACTTAAAGTATAATTAAAAAAAAAAAAAGAATAGTCAGGCCAGGCACAGTGGCTCACACCTATAATCCCAGCACTTTGGGAGGCCAAGGTGGGTGGATCTCCTGAGGTCAGAAGTTCCAGACCAGCCTGGCCTACATGGTGAAATCCTGTCTCTACTAAAATACAAATATTACAAAAATACAAAAAATACAAATAATTAGCTGGGCGTGATGGCAGGCGCCTGTAATCCTAGCTACTCGGGAGGCTGAGGCAGGAGAATCGCCTGAACCTGGGAGGCACAGGTTGCAGTGAGCCCAGATTGCGCCATGGCACTCCAGCCTGGGCAACAAGAACGAAATTCCGTCTCAAAAAAAAAAGTCGGGGATGGGGGATGGCTCACGCCTGTAATCCCAGCAATTTGGGAGGCCGAGATGGGCAGATCCTGAGGTCAGGAGTGCGAGACCAGCCTGACCAACATAGAGAAACCCTGCCTCTACTAAAAATACAAAATTAGCTGGGCATGATGGCACATGCCAGTAATCCCAGCTACTTGGGAGGCTGAGGCAGGAGAATCTCTTGAACCCGGGAGGCAGAGGTTGCGGTGAGCCAAGATCGTGTCATTGCACTCCAGCCTGGGCAACAAGAGCGAAACTCTGTCTCAAAACAAACAAACAAAAAAACCCAGAATAGTCAGAGGGCTGGGCATGGAGGTTCACACCTGTAATCTCAGCAACTCAGGAGGCTAAGTGGGGACGATCACTTGAGGTCAGAAGTTTGAGACCAGCCTGGGCAACATCACAAGACAGCCATCTCTAACAAAAATAAAAAATTAGCCAGGCATGGTGGTCTGTGCCTATAGTCCCAGCAACTTAGGAGGCTGAGGTGGGAGGATTACTTGAGCCCTGGAGTTCGAGGCTGCAGTGAGCCATGATTGTGCCACTGCATTCCAGCCTGGGTAACCAAGTGAGACCTCATCTCTTAAAAAAAAAAAAAAAAAAGCAGTCAGAGGGATGGTTACAAAATGCAAATCTGATCATTTTTTCAGATTCCTTGCTTACCCTCTACTACATCTAAATTTACACATCCTTTTACATTCCAGTGTTCCAGTGGGAGAAAAATCGTATCTTCTTTTAAAAGTATAAGATGAAAATAATGTATTTTCACCCTAAACATGAAAGTCAACCCCTACCCAATAAAAATTGTATCTATCTATCTGGGAGTTTTTTTTTTTTAATTTGTCCAAAGCTGGGGATGGTGGCCTACACCTGTAGTCCCAGTGAATCAATCAGGAAGCAGAGTTAGGAGGATTGCTTGAGCCCAAGAGTTTGAGGTTGTACTGGGCCATGGTGGCACTTGTGGCTAGCCATTGTGTTCCAATCTGGATCATATAGCAAGACCCCTCTCTAAAAAATTGTCTTTCACCTGATAGGCTTTTCAAACATATCTTTCTTCAGGTCTGAAAAAAAAAAAAATCAGTGACTACTTCTTTGAATACTGCCTCTTTCTTATTCTCTAAAATTTCTGTCAGAAATATATTGTAGTTTCTTAATCCATCCTCCATGTCTCCTAACTACTCTTCAAATTCTGTCTTTAGTTCCCCGGTTCTAGGTGATTTTCTTAGTTCTAGCATTCAATTCGCTACTATCTGCTTCACTGGGTCCAGCTTACTTTATATGTTGAGATATTTCAAATGCTATTCACTTTGAAGATGTTTAACTGGTTCTTCATATTTGCCTGTTAAGTTTATAGCTTTACCTGCTCTGTTTAAAAACCTCTAATAATTTAAATAGATGTTATCTTGTCCTTTAACTCTTTGAGGACTTTAAAATTTTAATCAACTTTGCTGAGGAATAATTTACATTCAGCAAAACGCACATTTAAGGGTACAGCACAATGAGATTTGACAAAATATTCACCTAGTAACTACCATTCCTTTCCAGATATAAAACATTTCTCCTCACATTCCTTTGCAGCTGAAGTTTTCCAAAATGTTGAGTTATTTTTATCACTGTAAGTTAGTTTTGTCTGGTCTAGAACTTCATATAATTGGGATTGTCCAGGATGTACTTTTTTGTGTTTGTCTTCATTCAGGAGAATCTTTTTGAGGTTCATTCATGTTATTGCATATATTAATTATTCATTACATTCTATTGCTGAAAAGTATTTTGTTTTAAGACTATGCTGCAATTTGTTTATTCATTCCCCTGTTAAGGGACATTTATGTTATTTTCAGTATTTGTTTATATTGTTTGTTATGAATAAAGTTGATATAAACATTCATGTACAAGTCTTTTTCTAGACATGTTTTCATTTTTCTTGGATAATACCTAGCAGTGAAATTGCTGTCACATAATAAATGTATGTTTAAAGAAATTACTAAACTATTTTATAGGATAGATATACAATTTAGCACTCCTATCAGAAATGTGTGAGCGTTAAACCTGCTCCACATCCTTTCCGGTACTAGGTATGGTCAGTCTTTTTAATTTTACCAATTTTTGTGAATGTGGAGTGGTCTATCTTCCCAGTTTTCTATTTGCATTTTCTCTATAATTCATCATATGGAGCATCTTTCTACATGCTACTTGGCCATTTATGTATTTTTCTTTCATGGAATGTCTTTTCAAATCTTTTGCCCATTATTTCAGCTTTTATTTTTCCTTTTTATCTATTTATTTATTATTTACTTTTTAGAGATGGGGGTCTCACTTTGTTGCTTAGGCTGGTCTCAAATGCTTGGGCTCAAATGATCTGCTGGCCTCAGCCTCTCAAAGTGTTGGGGTTATAGGCATGAGCCACTGTGCCTCGCCTTTTTTCTTTTTTTCTTTTTAATATGCAGTTTTAAGAGCTCTTTATATACTTTGGATACAAGTCAGATATTGGAATCTCCCAATCTGTGATCTGTCCTTTCATTTCTTTCTTTCTTTTTTTTTTTTCTCTGAGACGGAGTCTCTCTCTGTCACCCAGGCTGGAGTGCAGTGGTGTGATCTTGGCTCACTGCAACCTCCACCTCCCAGGTTCAAGCGATTCTCTGCCTCAGCCTCCAGAGTAGCTGGGATTATAGGTGCCCGTCACCACACCTGGCTAATTTTTAGTATTTTTGGTAGAGACAGGGCTTCACCATCTTGGCCAGGCTGGTGTCCTTCCATTTCTTAATGAGGTATGTGAAAGCAAAAAATATGTAAATTTTGAAGGAGTTAAATTTATCCATTTTCATAGCTTATGCTTTTGGTGTGTCCTATTTATGAACTTGTTGCCTAATCCAAGGTCTTGATTTGGTTATCCATTTTCTTCTAAACGATTTATAGTTTTTGTTCTTATATTTAAGTTTATAATTCATTTTGAGTAAAATTTTTATATGATGTGAATTCATCTTTTTGCACATGGACATCCAATTGTCCCAGCAACATTTGTTAGGAAAAAGAAATCCTTTCTCTATTGAATTGCCTTTGTACCTTTGTCAGAAATCAATGGATCCTAAATGTAAGAGTTTATTTCTGAATTCTCAATTCTGTTCTATTGACTATATGACCATATTTTTGTCAGTACCATACTGTTTTTGTTGTTGTTGTT